CAAGGTCACATGTGCAAACTTTTAAAAAATGTTGTTATCTAAAATTTGCCATGGTAATTGTAGTGAAACAAAATTCTTAGTTTTGCCATGTGATTACTGCACATGATAGTAATCTTTTTAAAATATAGTACAAGTGACATGGATTTTCTTTAAAATCTCTATGGGGCAAGGCAATGAAGAAAAAAATTATGGTTACATGGAAATTTTGGGATTTTTTTTCTCATTGAACAGGTAAAGTGTATATATTTGTAACAAAAATGGACACATGGCAAACTTACAAAACATAGTTGTTAACTAGAGACCATGGCAAAAATTTGGGGAAAATGCGGGACATGGCAAATTCTAGGGATAACATTGGTCACCGAAAGCAGGGAAACTTCACAAGAATGTTCATTGATTGATGGAAATTATCAGGAAAATGTGGAAATATAGGTTATAATTGCCATGAGATATGTTAGAAAAAAGGACACCAAATTGCCATGTTGTCAAAATTCACATTAGAGAGTCCAAAATTGGACATGAAGGATAAAATTTGTCATATTTGTACATCTCTCCTACTTTGGATGATGGAAAAGGTAGGAAAATCATAGCCAAGGAGGTGTTTGATAGCCGTCAGGAGGCCCAACCAAGCCCGGGCGGTGCAAAAAATTGCATGTTTGGTTACTTCGGCTGCATGCGATTCCTGGGCGACATAAACCTTAAAGCAGTATCATGCCAGGCTGAAGGGGAACGACTGAATCGGTTGTTTCTCCAGAGCCAAGCTTGCGAGAGCCACACATGGATCTCGCCTGCACATGTTGGGAAGCGCAGGAGACAACAAGACGTCTCATAACTGCCTCCCCTCTTTGATAACACCGCCCACTACGCATTCACGACACACTCCATCTCTCTCCCACAACCCTTCGATTTCTCTGATGGTCGACCATCAACTGCGCCACCTCACTCCCATCGCTGTCGGTAACCCAATCCACGACCGGTGGCTCGCAGACTGTGTGCTAGGTTCTTGTTATAATCTGAATGCTTGCTATGTTGTCGCTATGATCAAATTACTTGCTAGGTTATTGATGTGTTCTTGCTATGTGAATGCTTGTTTACTATCTTGCGATGATCAAATGTGCTAGCCTAGTGTTTCGAATGGTAACCTTAATATATGTGTTCAGTTTGAATGGAATGCATGGTCAGAGTAGAAAAATTGTGCATCCATGATCCGAGTAGGACCAATGTGCATGCATGAATAGAGTAGGATAAATATGCATGCAATTGAGCACTGGTATGATGCACCGATCATGGCAATTGAAATTGGGCATTGCTATGGTTAGTGCATCATGTCGATGAAAATTGCCTCGATCAATGCATCATGGCATTGCTAAGGTTACCTACTCCCGTCTTCTGAACTCGCAAGGTTGTAAAGACAGAGTAGGATACCGCTAGTCAAGGGGTCTATGTCGTCATTGGCGCGGAGGACACCGAGGACATCATCGCGATGAACAGGTGGCTAAAAAGGGCGAACATGCCAGGTAGGATAGCAGAGATGATGAAGCCTCTGGTGATTGGCCGCATACCAATGCCTGGCCATAAGCCAGTAGGCGTAGAGCCACTAAGGTTCACCAATCAAGGACGCTTTACACATTGCCATGCTCGTCATCCCGACGAATAGTGTTGCGATGGCAGCAACGCGTTGGGAGCTCCTCCAGATCCCATAACCAACATCGCGTCGAGAGATTGGCCGTCAGGGTGGTCGTCTCGAGCTCCCACAAGACCTTGGAGCATGCCCCGGCAATGGGCATGAGAGATGCTGCATCAGCACCATCGATTAGCCACAAACGTCGGTGAGAAGAGGGAGAAGCTGTGCCAATTCCCCATCGCCACCGAACGGGAAGAAGGGAACAACGACTCGTGCTGCTCCACCAACTGCCATATCCACCCACTTCCTACAAGTCGATGGCAGCCACTTCTAGGAATCCTCTGGTGCTACTCCAGTGTGCTACTTTGTCCATGTGTTGATGCTCCGCCCACGACCGTGACCCGTGTCGCCGCTCCTTGTTCCCTCGAATCTTCCACCAAGCACCAGTTTATCCCATTTTGGTGAGGGGACGAGGTTTCTCCAGCCTGGAATTGGACATTTCTCGATCAAGATCTGATCTTCTCTCAATGCTGATCACACCCCCACCCCTTGCCCTCCTCCACCGACGACGACACCTTGCTCTCCCAGCACTCAAGATGACAAACGGCTACTTCCACCCTTGTGACCGCTGGGCAGAAGGAAGGAAAAAGTCACAACCCTTGCCGGCGACGAAGAGAACACACACATGAGCTTGGAGGGAGAGTGGAATGGGGAGGGAGAACCGACTAGGGCGGTGAGGATGTTCTCGAAGTGAATGCGTCACTCTTTCTTTTGTCTCGCCTGCTAGTCAACCGAGATGTCGGATGTAGTCACACAAGCACGATAGAGAGCGAACTAATTTGGTAGGGTGTTGGCATTTTGTCCTTGCATCAAGATTCGTGCGTGGCATCTTGCAGACGTCTTTGCGTTATTTGTATAGCATTAAGTAAATTTATTATGAGAAAACACTTTTTTTAGAATTATTATGAGAAAAAACATTGGGGTGTATGCATACACCGTGCAGTCACCCTAATAGGGTTGCTAGTGGAGTATTGTTTTGAGAAGAACAGGGAGTCGCAAATAAGTACAGATTAGTAAGGTGGGCATTCGTAATAAACAAACACATTGGGGTGGTGGCGCAGTTGGCTAGCGCGTAGGTCTCATAGCTAAACGTGAGTGATCCTGAGGTCGAGAGTTCGAGCCTCTCTCACCCCAAAACCCCACAAAGTGGTGATGAAAATGCTCTCTTGACAACTTGGGTCGTCATGCAAACATCTGATCTTCAGATGCCAAGAGCAACTCTGAACTTTGTTCGTTCTTTTCCCTCTCCTTTTTGCTCTTGGATCTAACTAATTTCTTCTACACAGGAGGATTCACGAGCTTACTCCGAACTTTGTTTTTCTCCTGGATTTAACTAATCTTCTTCTACAACAGCCATGGATGGATGTCACGACTCACGATGGGCCGACTGCATGCTGGCTTGGCTAGCTAAGCTAGTCGTGCTACGCGTGTCTGGAGAGCATGGCGGACAGGGCGAGCGCCGCGAAGGCGAGGAAGCCCAGGACGATGGACGCGGCGATGGCGTCCGTGAAGACGTTGACCACCGCCGACCTCATGCGGATCGTGATCGGGAGAGCCGCCGCCGACGCCGTGACCAGCAGATACGCCACCGCCTGCATTCATTCAGATCATGGGAATGTTTCAACTTGCATGACAATCCATAAGCTAGCTATAAGTCACCGCACACGGAAGCTGCATCTAAAATGATCACGTGGTACACTATACTGGCCTAGGCAAGATTGTCTGCAACTTCACCTGGTCGCCGGCGAAATCAAGGAAGGTCGCGTGGGCGTCGCCGCGGCGCATCCGGCCGAAGTTCTTCAACGCCTGCGCCGCAGAGTACACGAACGCCACCACGGACACCCCGAGAAGATACCTAGCAAATCAAGCATGCAAAGCGACCGCCCAGCCCATGATCAACAGCTCAACACCGTGCACGCACACTGTCAAGAATGGTAACATGACCGATCGAGCAATAAGCTAGAGATGACGCGCACGCGCACCTGTACTCCTGGTAGCGGAGGAAGTCCATCCAGTCCCCGTGGCGGCAGGACGCGACGAGCGCCATGGCCACGAAGGACAGCAGCGCGGCGCCGGCGCGCAGCACAAGGACGATCCCGTTGAGCACCTGCGCCTGGTCGCCGCCGCCGACGTTGTGCGCCTGGCGCGCCCTGTCCCTGCTAGGCGTGAGGGGCGTCGTCGCCGTGGCAACGGGCGCCCTTTGGCCGCCGCCCTGCGACTGCGAGACATGCGGCGACTTTGGCTTCACGGCCGCCGGGGCCGGCGACTGGTGCGGGGAGAAAGGCGGCGGGGGCGGCGGGGACTTGGCGACGTAGTATTCCGAGTCCGGGGACGCGGCGTGCAGCTGCATGGCCATGATGCCTTAGCACGTAAGGGAACGAACGAGCGGACGGACGATGGAGGAGCGTGTATAGAAGTATAGATGTCTCGCTCGCATGCATTGCATTATTTGCGCTTTGCGAAAGCTGGGCGGGGCGGGTGATTAAAGGGGCCGCCGGTCTAGGGATTAAAGCCGGGAGAAGAAAGTGAGGGTGGTGGCTATGGCTGTGGGTGTGACATGGCGCGCACTAGCTTTGGCTGGCTAGGTTGTTCAGCTGGCTAAGCAATGGACCGGGGCCTCGGGAGGGAAGGAAATAATTTGAAATGTGTGGAACCAACATGATGGACAAAAGGGGTATTGCTTAACGGGGTATGCAATCGCTTAAGAAAGCAGCTCGCACTTAACACGCGTACTTACGTGGCAGGCTGAGAAATCAATGGAATTATGTCCGTTATTAACACTAGCAAAAGAGCCCATGCGTTGCAACAGGAGAGAAAACATAACACACGCTCTTAACTCAACAACCATCACTCAAGACCACAATAGGTTCATCTTTTTCCGAAGCATCATATTTGTGTTGCCGCTTATCCTCCTTCTCACCCTCACCGGCGATGGCCTCGGTGTTCACACAAAACAACAAAAAACGTGTGTTAAATATGGTTAATCCTATGGCGTCTCTCTCTCCCTCTCTCCTCCCTCTCCCTCTCTCTCTCCCTCTCTCTCTCTCTCTCACTCGCTTTCTCTCACTCTCGCGATGAGAAATTTGTTGTTTCCCCTGCGACATTTTTCAGAGATATGCATGTGTAGTTATCGATATTTTCTTTTCCATATATGGTTATAGTGGGATGTTTATTTGTGATCCGGATCGCCGCCGGTATGAAAAAAAAACGAATCTTGTGCTATAAATTATAAGTTTGCTTCCATAACAATATTTAATAGGTAAAATTAACATCATATTTAGATTCCACACATTTTTCTAATAAAATTTCATATATAATATGTTAAAATCGAAGTTACGGTTTAAAAAATACAGATAATTTAGAAAATCATTTGGTTTGACTCAAATATATTTCAAAATAATATTTAAAAATACTTAACAGGTAAAAATAATCTCATATCCATATTCTACATGTTTTTCTAATTAAATTTCATATATAACACGTTCAAATCGAAGTTACGATTTAAAAGATATGGATGATTTTAAAAAGCATTTGTTTGACTTAAATATGATCCACGGATGAATTACCTAAGACATCAGGGGGTTTTTGAAAAATGTAAAATAAAGGTTCGGGTGTGACTTAAATCTGGATGGCGGGTTGATTTTAAAAAAAGACAGAAACTTTTGTGTAAAATACAAAAATAACGATTTGTTTTAACTTAAAACAGGACTGCGGGTTGAATTCTTTAAAATAAAGGGACTTTTTCTGAAAAATGCCATGACGGATGAAAGAAATCCAATTTACTTTATTATTAGGTAAAGATAAAGACTAGTACTAAACACTTCACTTTCAGAGTGACTGGACATACGGTCTCTATTGCATCCTTGTCGATCGAGAGAAATGGAAGTAAGGAGTGGATGGACTGGTTTACCTTCTCCGGTGCTACCATTTACTCTCTGCGATGTGATCTTAATTAAAACGCAGGGTTTACGCTACTCCTGGTTCTGCTCTTTACTAAAACATCTTATAAATGTGTACAGAGGGTTGACCGGACAAGAAGCATGAGCAGAGGATTGAGGGGACTTTATGTAATCCCAACAAGAATTGGGTGAGGGAGTGGGGATTACCCAGCCCCCCAGGAAGGAGGGGTTGGTTGAATCCAATAGGAGTTACTTTCCTAAGGTTGATCATAGTGGTGAGTAATTTATACTAGTGTCATGCATATGACACTAGTCTAAATTACTATCTTCATAGTGCAAAATAATAGAGTTAAATACACCTACAGTACACGAACTTGCACTGCGGAAACACTTTCACAGAAAAACTTGAAAATTGAGACAAATGGGTCACTAAACTTGCTTTGCGGGAACAAAATCATACAAATTAGTCCGAAACGACCACGTGACGCACCACGTCGGCAGGGGAGCACGAGCTGGTGGCTGGTTAGTTTGTAGAAACCTCCCTAATAATGTAAACATTGAACCCGCAGTCCTGATTGAGATTGAGCAGGGAAAAAATTATGGATAACCCTGTACTTATGCCAAAAGTCACGTTGGCACTAGTAACCCTCTCCAAACCCCTTCGCTCTTCATCTTCGTGGCCTGTTCGTCTCCTATTCCGCATCGCTGTGGCCGGTTCATCTCCTCCGCATCGCCCTCGCCGTGGCGATCACGCTGGATGGAGCCACGTCCTCGAGGCATAGGCGAATTTCCTCCAGACTATGGTAGGAAATCAAGTTGTCCCGCTCTCTGCTCCCCTCTTTGGTCATGTTCTGCTAGGGTTTTGATCAGGTGTGATCCTCGGTATTTGTGGCCGCGATATAGATGAAACTCTGGGCTTTTGTGGAGTTTTGGGGGGGCGTGTGGTTAAGATTCAGTGTTTGATCAGATTTGGCATAGATGTAGTGTGTTTTCATGTATTGTGGTGTCCCCTGTTTTGATCAGAAATATATGTTGCATGCGGTGTTAAGCATGGGGTTCAGACTTGCTCTTAATATAGTGCGGTAAAGAAGAATATGGGTTCAGAAACCTTATAGATTCAAATCAGTTTCAGAAATGTGATATACTGTACTGCAGTTTCAGAATTGATATAGGTTCAGAATTGAGTGGCAAAAATTAGTGTACTGTAGTTTTATGTTCATAAACAATGCTTGATATATGGTTAGGGGCATATTTGGAAGTGCTGTTGCAAACCATTTTTCAGTAAATGATATGCATATTCATTAACAATAGTTAGCATTTTTCGTGACACGTAACAATCATGTACTTCTACTTGCAGGAGAAAAATCCAATTTCTTTACAGCGGTGTTTGAACACAATGGCATATTTTGTGGGCTGGATGATAGAAGGACATTTTGGGGGGAAGCACTCAAGAGGAGTATGACAATTGTGATGCGAACACATGGTCTAGGGATGTGATTAATTGCATATTGCAGCATTTGGGATATGACATTACTAGTCCTGAGCTACAAGTGTATTGGTTATTGCCTGGGAAGGATATCCTAGATGGCATGGTTTGTTTAGATAATGAAGAAGCAATTGCTTCAATGGCAAGGGCGGGCAGAGAAAACAGAAGTTTGCATGTTATAGTAGATGAGAGAAATCATGTGAAATCAGAATGGGATGATCTCATATATAGAGGCTGCCTTGAGCTGCCAAGGGTAATGACTCAAAGGAAAATGCCAAGTGGATTTAGGCCCGGAGAAGGCACTTCTGGGAGCACTAGTTCATGTATGATGCTGGTGAATGAAGCAGAACCACATAGTTATGTCCATCGAGAACATGAAGAGGAAGCCGAGAAAGGGCATGGAGAGGCAACAGAGGATGAGCATGGAGAGAGAGTAGAGGACGAGCATGTAGAGGCAGCAGAGGATGAGCATGAAGATGGAGCAGAGGATGAGCATGCAGATGGATCAGAGGAAGAGCATGGAGAGGACAGTGGCACAGATGAAGATTTTTATGAAAGTGATTATGATGTTCCTGATGGGGATGATGATCTATTTGTTCAGAATGTTGATGAGAGTGTGAATGACCACAATGAGCAGAAGGAATACATAGATGATGAAGATCCAGTGGAAGATGATGGTGATCTAAACTTGTCTAAGAAAGAGCTAGAAAGGTTGAAGTACTCTTTCAAGGCATTTAATCCAGAGGTAGACCTAAATAATCCAATTTTCAGAGTTGGACAAGTGTATGGTGAAATGAAAGAGCTTAGAGCTGCTTTGGTTGCATACAGTGTGAGAAACAGGGTTAAGATTAACAAAGGAAGAAATGAAGCAACGAGGTTGAATGCATCTTGCTCTGCTGGATGCCCCTGGCTTTTGAAGGCGTCTAAGGACAACAAAACAGGAAGCATTGTAATTAAGAGATACAATTGCAATCACACATGTCAGAAATCTTGGGATGCAAAGTGTTTGTCAGTTAAATTTCTTACCGGTAAGTTCATTGAGAAGTTCAGAGACAACCAAAAGATGGACTTGGTGACCTTTGGTAACAAAGTTCAGAGAGAATTCAAGGTCAGACCTCATAAAGTCAAATTAGGAAGGGCAAGGAGAGCTGCACTTGGTTTGATACATGGAGATGAAGCAGCTCAGTATCAACAGCTATGGAATTATGGTAAAGAGCTGAGGAGGAGCAATCCTGGCAGTACCTTCCTTGTTAGCACAACTCTTGTTAAGGAGAATGAAAATGAGGACCCAAAGGATCATTTGTCATCGTTGTATTGGTCATATGATGCTTGCAAGAGAGGTTTCTTAAATGGATGTAGGCCCATCATTTTTATCGATGGATGCCACTTGAAAAGTAGGTACAAAGGCCAGTTACTTACTGCTGTTGGCATAGACCCAAACGACTGCATTTATCCCATTGCAATGGGAATGGTTGAAGTAGAATCAAAATTCTCCTGGGAGTGGTTTCTCACTACAATAAAGCATGACTTGAACATAGTGAACACCTCCCCATTCACTATAATGAGTGACAAACAAAAGGTATTTTGTTCACCACTAAAATGTTGTTTTCAGTGTATTAATTTCTGCATTATAACAAATCTTAGTACTTACACCTGTGCACTTCTCTAGGGCTTAATAAATGCAGTTGGAAAGGTGTTTCCAAACTCAGAGCACAGATTTTGTGTTAGACATTTATATCAAAATTTTCATATGCATTTCAAAGGAGAGACATTGAAAAACCATTTGTGGGCAATTGCAAGATCAACAAATATCACAAAGTGGATGTTGAACAGAGAAGCAATGAGAGAGGACTGCCCTAGTGTTGTTGCTTGGTTGGAGAATAAACCTGAAAACCAATGGGTGAAAGCATTTTTCAGTGATTTCCCCAAATGTGACATCCTATTGAACAATATGTCAGAAGTGTACAATAG